TACGTGTGTGTGAATATGTGTGTGTTTGTGGGGGGGGGGGGCGAACTATGATCTTCCACCTCTGTCGTAATGTCATTTGATTGGTGATTTTCTTCTGCTTCTTTTTTTTTTTTTTTTCTTCTTTCGTTTGCTTGAAATAATTATCTATAACTGCAGTGTTGTCTCTAGTCTCGACACCAACCATGCCATTGTAACTTGTGAGTCTATGATTTTCACCTCAGACCATAGTAGGTATCAGGTCTTTACTTTGGATGTTGCCTCACTGTATACCTCCATCCCTCACAGTGATGGCCTCTCGGCGTTGCGTTTCTTTCTGGACAAACGCAGTAATCCAGCCATTGCCACTGAACCCATCATACGTTTAACCGAGTTGGTTCTGACTCTCAATTCTTTTGAGTTTAACGGCAAGTATTTTGCCCAAATTAATGGTGTGGCTATGGGCACTAAAATGGGCCCTAGTTATGCCTGCCTCTTCATGGGTTTTCTGGAATACCAGGTGTGGCTACTATACACAGGTGGAGTCCCTGAATTGTATAGGAGATATATTGATGATGGTTTTGGTGTCACCGATATGTCAGTAGTGGAACTGGAAAACTTCATTGAATTCTTCTCGAATTTTCACCCCAGTATCCAACTAACCCACCATATTTCTTCCTCTTCAGTCAATTTCTTGGACCTCTCAGTTTCTATCAACCCTCGTGGTCTCACTACATCGGTCTACTATAAACCGACCGATTCCCATGCCTTTCTACTCTATGATTCCTCTCATCCTCGGTCTTGTAAGGACGCCATTCCTTTCTCTCAACTCTTGCGTCTTAGACGATTATGCCAGGATGACGATGACTTTCACAGCAGGGCCCACGAAATGATGAATTTCTTCCGATCACGTGGATATCCTGAGTCTGTCTTAGAATCTGCCTTCCGCCGCTCCCAGAGCATCAGTCGGGTGGATGCTTTCATCTCCAGGCCTAAACGGCAGAACCTTAGACCCATACTTTTCTTAACTTACCACCCTCATAACATTGCTTTCAAGAACATCCTATTCCGAGCGGACCCAGTAACCAACGCTGTGTTTTCAGAGACACCTCTACTGGCATATAAGCGGGACCGCAACCTCAGAGATTTACTGGTACACAGCAGAGTACGGGGACCAGCCCCAACTCATCTGGGCACTAAGGCTTGCCTTAGATCTCAGTGCAACACCTGCCCATACGTGCTGAATACTTCAGATGCGACTTTTCCTAAAGGCACTTTTAGCATCAAAGAGGAATTCTCCTGCACTAGTAGGAACGTCATCTATGCTATCATCTGCAAACGGTGCAACATCAAGTACATCGGGGAAACCGGTCTTCGCTTAGCCGACAGGTTTCACCAGCACCTTCATGACATCACTAACAAAACAGCCAGGCCAGTTTCCACTCATTTCAACAGCGCTGACCATCGGGGGACCGCTGACATTCAGGTCACGGCTATCAGATCCTGCTCGTCTGATGATCGACATCGGAAAACTTTGGAAAACCGACTTATATATTTGATGGGTAACCTCTCACCACTAGGCCTTAACACCCAACATAGCTTCGTATAAATTACCAGTGTCCCGGTAACGCACCCTTATCACCCTCCCTTCCTCCCCACTACACCCACGCCCATCCCACGTTAGTTTCTGACTGTCATGATATTCCAGTTACATAGCATGAGGGTTATCCCCTAGGTCTCGACAGATTATGTTGCTGGTTGCTTGACACTACATAATATACTTTGATACTAGTCTCTCTCTCTCTCTCTCTCTCTCTCTCTCTCTCTCTCTCTAGGTATATACCAAGTTTTCTCTGGTCTTCCCTCTCCTCACTCTTCTCCTCTTCCTCTCCCCCTTTCTGTTTGGTTTCTCCCCTACCTCCCCCTTCTCTCTCTCTCTCGTTCTCTATCTTCTTCTCTTTTCTCTCCCCTATTCATACAAACTTTCATTTATCCATTCATTTTTCCTCGTTACATATGGATGCACTGTCCTAATGTGGAACTATTTCGTGATAGTGTTGGAACGCACTCCTCCTATACAGTGTTTTGACTACCGAGATGGTAAGTATGTGTACACACTGGGGGTATGCAGTTCTGACTCGACAGATATTGGGTATAACAATCATCCTTACTGTCTCTGTGTGACATCAGACAGTCAGATAGAAGCACTGCATCACTAGACCCTTGTTCACGCGATGTCAGATTAACATACATTCAGACTCATCCATCCATACATTCTTCCATCTACCCATCCATCCTCTCGTCCACCCATATATCATATATTTCATTCATCCCAATCCACTCAGCCTATTATTCGATGTGTCCATCCATTCATCGCTCCCCACGTTTCTTTGCACACATATCCGATGTACAATCCATCACTAGTCTCGGCTACCTACACAGCAGGTATCTCAGGCAACACGATGTTGTTGCGCGTGGGCTCGATTGATACTTTGTATAATAATCACCCTTACTGTCTTTACTTGCTTGATGACAGTAAGAGAGAAGCATCACAGTATGAGACCCTTGTTTGGACCTGTTTAAATCCCCGGCTCTCTAGCGTAGTTGGCTAAACCGGATTGCGCGGTGAGCGGGTGACGAACTCCTTGTGGTCCGGGTTCACTTCCGGGGGTAGGCATAAAGCCACATTTCTCCTAGTTTTACGGTATTTAAAATGGAATCAAGGCCGAAGGGTTGTGATATCCATAATACCGAGCCTAAGGATTAACAACTCATGGCTTCTGCATACTAAAACAAAGCAACAAACCTATTTTAATATATCAGCATACATATAGGCAGATCCATCCATCCATCTACCATTGCATCTATCTACGAACGTAACCATCGTCCCGCCCATTCATCTACCCACACCATTTATCTCACCATCCACTCAATGCTTTTTTTCACAGCTTCCTTCCATTCTGGCTGTTACCAGCCTTGCACTTGGGCTCGACCAATACTTTGTATAAAAATCACCCTTACTGTCTCTTTTTGATAGCGGACAGTAAGAGAGAAGCACTGTGTTACTAGACTCATGTTTTTACCTCATCTCATATTTGGTCGATCCATCCATCCATCTACGATTCCATTCATCCACGAATACAGTCATCCATCATTCCATCCATTCATCTACCCACCCATCCATCCATCTACCATTCCATTCATCCACTAATACAGTCATCCATCATTCCATCCATTCATCTACCCACCCATCTATCCAGGACACACTCGCCTATCCACACCACCATCCACACATGCTGTTTTCCCATCTATCCCTTCATCGCTCCCTTACACACTGGTTGTTACCAGTCTTACTCTCGGGCTCGACCGATTACTTTTGTATAACAAGCATCCTTACTGTCTCTATTTGATAACTGACAGTAAGAGATAAGCATCTATCTATCTATCTATCTATCTATCTATCTATCTATCTATCTATCTATCTATCTATCTATCTATCTATCTATCTATCTATCTATCTATCTATCTATCTATCTATCTATCTATCTATCTATCTATCTATCTATCTATCTATCTATCTATCTATCTATCTATCTATCTATCTATCTATCTATCTATCTATCTATCTATCTATCTATCTATCTATCTATCTATCTATCTATCTATCTATCTATCTATCTATCTATCTATCTATCTATCTATCTATCTATCTATCTATCTATCTATCTATCTATCTATCTATCTATCTATCTATCTATCTATCTATCTATCTATCTATCTATCTATCTGTCTATCTGTCTATCTGTCTATCTGTCTGTCTGTCTGTCTGTCTGTCTGTCTGTCTGTCTGTCTGTCTGTCTGTCTGTCTGTCTGTCTGTCTGTCTGTCTGTCTGTCTGTCTGTCTGTCTGTCTGTCTGTCTGTCTGTCTGTCTGTCGATATTTGTTTGCAAGCACAGGCACCACTTTTATTCCATGCGGATGGACTAATGTCATCCCCACAACCCAACCCCGGTTACTCCCTATAGGCCAACCCCTCCCTCCCTCCTTAGACACTCAGTGTACGCTGTTGGCGTCAAACCCGTCCCTTTTTTCCCCTATCTGCTCGTTGGAGGTATATAAGCTGACCGTCATTCCATTGAACGAAGTTTTTTCGCCACGGACACTAGATGAGTATCATTTATTCTATACATTAGAGTCCTATGTAGTCACTTCATAGTTAGAGCCTATTTGTGTATGTGTACTGTGTTGTCCTTTATGTGCTGATGAAGGCTAATCACCGCAACGTCCTTTGTTTGTTTATTGTGATCGATTTTGTAAAGCTAACATAAACTAATTGTTGTTTCTTAACAACTTTTTCTCTTCCCTATAATTTTCTACTCCTTATAAAAACTAGTCTCTAGTATGAACTTCACTGTCTGTCGTAATTTACTCAGCGACCTGATAGTGATGTGTCTATTAACAAAATAAATGTAATACTATTTTAACGAACTTCGTCCACACACATTGTTTCCTTTCCAGATAGATATCGGTTAATAATAGTTGCTTGTATTGTAGATTTACTTACCCCAACACTCAAGAAGCTGTGGCGCAGTATGAGGAACTGTAACTATAAACCACGGTCCCTCTCTGCTCTGCTTAAGTCGGAAATTCATATTTGTCTTTTGTGCACGGATTTAGATGGATAGTTGGCCGTTCCAGTACCTCATCAACGGACAGGGTGTAGCTCGCCAGTGAGTGACTAGTAGTGTATAAATAAAAAATCGTATTGTGGTTGTCTAGCTAGTGGAGTCTAAGTCTTTCTTGCGTTAACCGTTAACTAATTTTACTGACTAATCGTGTTTTACAGTATAAGTGTAGGACTGAGTTTAGTTTGTAGTAAATGAATCACCTCTCACCTCATCAACAGACCAGTGCCCACTGAATGAATATCAACTACTGCTGTACTAACTACACTTCATGTTAATGCTAGCAGTAGCTTTGTCATTGTTATTGTAAAGTTCCTCGTCTCATTTGAAACCAAGGAAATGTCGCCGCAACCGGCAGCAAGTGCAAGCGAGCAGAAAATGAGCGAAACTTTCCTCGGGTTTGAACTTTTGCTGTTTCGAAGGTTTCAGCAACAGCCGGCGTTGTGGTATGAATGGCGAGAGCGGTTCAGAAAAAGGGCAGACCCTGGAGCCGCTGAAGACTTGGAAGCTGTTTGTGTGGATTCGACACTGCAAACACTTGAATCTCTAGAAGAGCTGGATGTTGGGGTTAGTAAGAAAGAGTTTGTCTTTGCAAAATGTGAAATAGTTCTACAGTTCTCCTCATGACTAATAATAATTAGATAGTATTTAGTTGCTTAGTTAGTAGATAGATATTTTGTCAGGTCCGGATCAGATATGACTGAGCTGCCGTATACTATTTCAGTAGCCCCTACCACCTGTCTTCTGTTATGCCGAATGTTGGGCGGCGTATACCAAACCTGATACCAAACCTGATATCCCATATGATATTGTATAAATGGCTTCAGACGGAGGAGTATATTGGGGAGGATACTAACCTTATCCTAGGAAGAGGAAATGCAACCTGAAAACTGTAATGTTGTGGCAGGACTGACCAGGCCCTTATCCTTGGCTGGCAGCTGGTCTAGGAGGAAAGCTTCAACATGCGGACAGATAGATCACTGCTTTTCTGATCTGACAGCTGCTTTTTTTTCAAATGTACTGGTGTTATCTTTTCTTTGGAGTAAACAAGGCAGGTTGAGAGAGGAATCATGATGCATGGGCAACATATTGTCTCAACAGTACTGGCCAGGCTTTGTTGTATGGAGAGGCTTTTGTTAAAGCGAGCAGGTCTTGCTAGTCACACTTGCCATCGCTATGCGCTGTGAGTCCCCTGCCTCTTTATAGCGCTATATAACACTGTCGTCTGGAAAAATGTAAAGGTGCCAATCATAAGTAGATAGGTAATCTGCACATCAAACTATTTAGTCCCTCAATAAATCAGTTTCTGTTTCTACACTGGTTGGCTGCAGTTGATCTCCAACACATTTAGACTTTTCCCCTTGGATATTCACTGTTATAGGATGGCTGTGGAATATCCAGTTACAAGCATAGTTACACACATTTGACGAAAGGTTACAGCTCGCCCGTGTGTACTGGTGCTATAATTATTATTTCTTTAGAGGTTGAACAGGGAATTTGGAATCTGCCTTGTTGGTCTGCTGTCCAGACTGAGATTTTTAAATCTCATGATCGTATGATAACTCTTTTGGTAGTAGCCTGGAGGGGACAGACTGATCGACAGATTAGTTAATGGGGGCGGGCCTTGTTAGTTACACTTGTCTTCGCCATGTGCTGTGATTCCTATGCAGCCCAGTGCACAGTATTATATTGTCATCAGAAAAGTAGCCAAACCTTTCGCTTCAAGGAGCCTAAATCTAAACGCTTATGGTTATGCCACATTCCCATAAATCTGATAATCTGGTAATTTTAGTTTCAGCTTCATAGCAAACGGGTCACCACATTTTTGCTCCACTCCTGTGCCAACGAAAAACACACAGAATGTTTATCACAGTCCCTTGTGGAAAGACTGACAAACTGCTGTCTCAGCAAATCTAGCATACACTCGCATTAAAAGCATATGGTAGCCATCCGAAGTACTAACACAAACAATCCGACATTAGAAATGCAGTTCATCATTGATGGTAGCAGAAGTCACCAAAAGATCAGCAGTTGCACACGCGATCAATTTTAATCAAATAATGGCCCCACCAATATTGCGACAACTGGAATCGCGCCATTTTCTTAATCTACAAATGAAACCACCACGCTGGTCAGACGAAAAACATTCCAAATGAAATCCGCAACTCACAGTGTCACGCCATGCACTCAACTCAGAAGCTGGGCAACGAAACTTTATACTTCCATTCTACAAATGGAGCAAAAAAGCAACGGCCACAGTCTGGCAGAAGCAAAAATTTGTGCCTCGGCTCAAAACAGTGGCAGTGCCTAGTGTCCATGTGGACCTGAAGCATTATGTGAGGGTTAATAAATTGTCACCCCAGCAGTACCCTCACTATTAGCTGGGGAAGGGATTTAGGACATTACATCCACCAACAAGCGTCGCCCCTTCAACGACCTGACTGCCTTCGTTAACGACTGTTCACCCAACAGCCATGCAGTTCTTTGGCACAAAGGAGACACCTTGAAGTTGGGTTTCGGACTGCCGACTCCCTACACGAAGATATATGTGTGCTACTGGTGTCCTGTAGCCAAAATACCACCCCACTGTATTACTAAAATTCAGCAGGAATACTCAAACGCGCAGTAGTTAAAACACACACACACACATATATACACTCATTACCTGCCACCCGCTTGCTTGCTGGTGCAGCACACATGACTACATATATTTATTTATATATATATATCGGGAGAGGGAGAGAGTGAGACAAGGGAAGAACCATGCCGAATGACCACACATATGTAAGACACTGACACAGGGAATTCCCTATGCACACAAGGTCGGCATGACTGGCTCCAAGAAGGGGACAGTAAACTCAAATGGCTCAGTCAGATCAGATTCAGTCCCTGCTGTGACAGAAAATTGGCTGTAATAAGGGACTGCCGTAGAAAGATGCACACAAGGGGCGGTGTCAGAAAGAGATGCAAACTTTGTGACAGGGTAACATTGCTTGAACAATGTATTCTGCAAGCCACCAGGGGTTGCATTCACATTTTCTAGGTTCTAACAATAGTAATACACTAGCGATGGCTAATAATAATCATTAACAGCTCAGCCAATACCTACATAAATCGGCGTAGACAGAAAGAGAGAGATGGAGAGAGAGAGAGAGGGATCACCGTGTAACTAATTAAAGCAAAAGTATAGCGTTCATTGAGTCTTCTGTTTCGATATCCAAACGTGCTTGTCAGCCATACAGTTTTTGCGTGCATCGGTCAAGGCCTAAGAACAGAAAATCAAGTGCTGTGTCTCTACGTTCATTTCTAGGTGGCCATGAGGTCACAGATGGAACTGTTGTAGCAGGGTAGAGCCGTGTGAACTTGAATCCTGCAGGTAAATTGGGTGCTTAGAGAATGTCCTGTTCTCAGGTGTATCTGGTGTAGCCTGATGAGATGTTATCGCGAAGAAAGGTGAAATATTTAAAAGAAGAGAATTCTGAGTGTCTGTAATTATTTCTTCTTCCATTTGTGAACCCGCCTGCGTCATAACAAATGTTGCTCCATTAAATGGCGTCTAGGTGTCCGAGGGAACATGGCGTATATTGGTTGATGGCCTGGTGTAGCATAGTTCAATCAGTTTCATGTTCCATGTTTCACTGGTGTAAGATTTATTGTCCTCTCTCTGTCTCACACAGATGGTAGCGGGCAAGTCGCCTTTACAAGCCGTAGGGAATACCGTGCGTATAATGTTCTACGTAGTATCATTAGAGAATGGGATGGCCCGGATGCCTATAGTTTAGAGTGTGAGTCCAGCTGCTAGCATTTTCCTTTCTCTTCTTTTCCCTAGCATTACTATCTTTTGAAAACGCTCAGTCCTATCCTAGTCCCACATATTTTGTTTGTATAGTGTGGCACTTACGGGACGTCTCTCGGTTAGCCAGTGGTGGTGATAAATCTCAGTGTCGCGGACAAAACGCCCACTGACCTTCGCATCCGTGGTTCATGTGTCTGTATCATCGGCACATTTCCGCTCAAAATAAGTTTGAGAATGCTACAAAAACCACATTTGCATGCAAGCATGACATCTAATTGCGTGAAACAATATTTTACTGCAAGTCCAACGGAATAACGATAGTCAAAACGTTGCTAGTTCACAGACACAATTAGAATAAAAAATCCAAATAGTGAGAGCTAGGAAAAAACACGTCCTCTCAGTAGGGAGTCGGCAGCAGTAATTCCTGTAAATGCTGATATATGGCCATATCTTCAGTGACCTGTTTTCAAACAGCGTAGCCAAATTCCATTGGTCCTATGTGCACCAGCGCAGTGTTTTATAGGCCATAAATGAGTATAGTATCTAAAAATAGCATATAGAGAGGTATCCTTATGACCCTAATGGCTTTTTGTAAACCAAGTGGATGTCAGTTTGTCCCATAAGCCTCAGTGATGGAGGTCATGAGGTAATGACTGAAACATTTTTGTTTTTTTTGCACCCCAGGGAATATATTCCACCTAATGCTTTACTCTGTTCAGGTTTGTTGATCAACACTTTATATATTTTGAAAAAAATTTCAATACAAAGTTGAATCAATTTAAAAAAAAATGTATTGTGACCTGTGCAATATGATTGTTTTTTTTTTTTTTTAAAGGATTCTGTCTGGAAACTCCTACTTGTTCATAATCCAGATATTTTAGCAGTCACAAGACAAAAGGGTTAAACAGTTGGGCAAAAGTAAAGCTATTCCCAAGGCAAATAATACCTTTTAAGTATGAAGTGTTAGACCTTCACATATTCTAGGCTACAAGCTATGATGTAGGGTGCCAGTTCTCTTCCTCTTTGCATTTCCTTTCTAGATTTATCCAGGAACATTTGGGAAATTATCTAATTTTTGTGAGTTTTTTTTTTGTGGGAGGTAAAATAGAAAAGGGAAGCAGCAGTAGCTTAGTAACTAGACACACACCAGCTGCTCGAAGGTCTTTGGTTCAAATCCACATGGACTCGAGAATTTTGTTTCACAACTGATCTTAGCTCCCAGGTCCACCCAGCCTTAAATGGGTACCAGGTAATGTCCTAAAAAGTAAAGGTGGCCTGCATGACGTTGACGACATTACCCATTGAGTACTGATTGGTCTATAAAAATATAAGTGTAGACCACATGCCTGATGCGCCGCTGGTAGGAAAAGAGTCTTTTACTTTTAATTCAAATGAAAACACAAAAAAATTCCAAGGAATGAACTGAGACGACTGACTTAATGTGTAAGCACACAAACCACTATGCTGTCTTTCCTAATTTATTATTCAGTTACCAGGGTGTTGTCCCATTTTATTTACCCCAACTGTCTCTGTATAGTACCATGGTGTTGTCCCATTTTATTTACCCCAACTGTCTCTGTATAGTACCATGGTGTTGTCCCATTTTGTTTACCCCAACTGTCTCTGTGTAGTACCATGGTGTTGTCCCATTTTGTTTACCCCAACTGTCTCTGTATAGTACCATGGTGTTGTCCCATTTTGTTTACCCCAACTGTCTCTGTATAGTACCATGGTGTTGTCCCATTTTGTTTACCCCAACTGTCTCTGTATAGTACCATGGTGTTGTCCCATTTTATTTACCCCAGCTATCTCTATACAGCACCATGATGTTTCCTATTTTATTTTGTTTATTACCCTACTGTTATTCTCTATATAGTACCATGGTGTTTTCCCATTTTATTTACCCCAACTATCTCTATACAGCACCATGACGTTGTCCCATTTTATTTTGTTTATTACCCTAGTTATAATCTATATAGTACCATTGTGTTGTCTCTGTATTTACTATTTTATGTTATTTACCCTAATTTTCTCTGTATATTTTAAAATTGTTAATTGTTTCTTATGTTTTTCATACTGGCCAGCTCTGAACCAAGCAGGAATGTAGGGCATACATAGCACTTGATGAATCAGTTTTAACTGATAAGATGGTTGTTTGCTTGTTCAAATATTTCGCCTCTTGTGGAGTACAAGGCTTTGGCCATTCTAATTATTTTTAATGATACTGGTTTTGCAGTTTGCCTGTGTGGATTCCAGGGCCAGGTGGTGGGGGAAGGGGGTAAGAAAACTACTGCCCATAACAGTTTTGTCGAACAAGGGGATTAATTAGGGGTTTGCTGAAGTTGAATGTATTTGGCCGAAAAGTGCAGATATCCAAGCCTAGCAGTAAACCACAACGGAACATGTCATTGGCCCTTTTAAGCACAAGTGCAGAAGAAGAAGAAAAAGAAGAAGACATAATACTTCCCCTCTGCCTTACACTCCCCTCTGCCTTACTTCCCCTCTGCCTTACTTCCCCTCTGCCTTACTTTACTGGGGTTTTACTTCATGAGATAAAAACTATGGGCTAATTTTTAGTGCTCTAACTTGGGGTTTTACTTCATGAGATAACAACTGTGGGGTAATATTTAGTGCTCCAACTTGGGGTTTTACTTTGTGAGATAACAACCATGGCCTAATTTTTAGTTCTCCAACTTGGGGTTTTACTTCATGAGATAACAACTTTGGGCTAATTTTTAGGGCTCCAACTTGGGGTTTTACTTGATGTATAAAAATTATGGGCTAATGTTTTTTTTCCCCACTTTACTCTACAAGAAGACTTAGTTAAATAGCCCTGCTCTATAGGTTGCTGCAGAGTTCATTCTTTGAGTGAGGTCTTGGGCCTCCTTGGATTCTCTTAATGTCTTTTGTAGGAAGAGATTGGGATACTGGTGCACATCGGTGACCCGGTTGCCCATTGGCTCACCGATAGGTGACTTTGTCACTGGTGGGGACAGTATTTGGGTCTGTCTCCTTTGATTGCATCAACACAACAGGAGTCCTTTTCAGTCCTCTTGGTGGCGTGCAGTGCTAAACCCTTTTATATGGTGCACATAACCTAATCACAATTATAACCTAAATCTTTCTTTCAGAAATCCTGGTTGAACGTGACCATTTGTTATTTTGTTCCAGCAAAGTACCCAACTACCTAGGATACTGCTGGATAGTTTATGAGTATAAAAAGGATAGGTCATTAATGAAATTAAAAAGCTTGTGATCATGTAAGTATAGTGTATTATTTTCAATTTCGTCCTTTTCAGGACGAAATTTTTCGTCATTTGAAGCCCTACTCTGGCTTCTGCCAGGGGCCGCAATATAGGCAGGCCATACATATGGCCAAATGTCTGAACGCGGTTTCTGGGACCTCTCCACATGGTGGCACTTTGTGTCATCGGGTGTTTATCGCTTGTGTGATGTCCTGGTGGGGTAGAAAGTCAGTCAGTCAGTCAATGAAATAAATAAAAATCACTCAGTGAGTGAATGCATTTTTGAACATTTTCAGGACATCCATCAGGATCTGTGGTTTTTGTCTGTCATGGTACATCGTAGACCAAAGCATTTCCTGGAGTTTGTCAAAGAAGAGATTGAAAGGGAACGACTAAAGAGATTTCCCAAATATGGCGGTGAGTACATTTTAAGTGCTGATTGAGGGAGTAAACATATAACATTTTTTTTTCTGTCTGTGATCTGAAAAAAAAATGCCTTTGAGCACCCTAAGTTTGTATTGTCATATAAAAGCCGTTTGCCTCCCGCTCTGAAGGTCAGGGGTTTATTTCACAGCGGTGCTGTTCAGTTCACGAGTGCAATTTTTATGGCAATCCATGCGGATTGTTGCTAAAGTTATGGAGGTCATGCTCTGAGTGATGCTCTTGCCATCAGCTAGCTGTTCTGCGGAGAGAGACTGAGCTATATGGGATAAAACCCAGTGCGATGAAGTCGATCCTGTCACCTTTACCTTTCTACGTTTATGGCGGATATATCTAGCTTAAACAGCTGCCGTCTCATTGGTTATGATGGATATATACATCTAAGTCCCTCAGTGGTCTGTAAATAGTGGATTTAACAAGCTACGTACTCATAGCGTGCAGTGTTGTGTGTGTGCTGGTGTTTTTTCCTCTTGGTAGAAGCACTCTTCACTTGTTGCACAGTATTTTAGTTTCCATCGTTTTGTGTGTGTTTTCATGCATGCGTGTGTATGGTTGGGGGAGGGGGCATTTTCCTACATCTGCATGCTGTCTGCACTTTGCCTTAACTCAAGAGCCACATCCCTCCACACAACATGCTTGATGAACTGTTTACATTCCACATTAGTATAGTATTTCTAACTAGGTTAGCTTCTCAGCTGTCATGTGGTCAGTGGTTTTTTTTTTAACTTTACTTTTAACTTCAGTTCCATCATTGTACTCTAAAGTGGTCTCACAGATCTTTGACAGATAAGTTTAAACGACCACACTTATACTGTCTAAATGTTGTGAGGGCCCTTTGAGAGCGCATGAATAGTGCAGAGGCACAAATAGATCATTATTATCTGAGGAGAAGGGCACTGCTGGGAGTTACCAGGGGATCTGCCCGAGGCTCAGCACTCAAGGGAAAGGGGAGACAGCTGTTCTGTCAGAAGTTACTGGTGTCTTTGGAATTGGAACTCTTCCCTTGCTGCTGAAGATAGAGACAGAGTGTTTATGAGCGTGTCCCAACTCATACTGTTTACTGCCATGAAAAAACTGCCATTACTGCCTGTATTTATATTTACTTTACAACTTTTGCCATGTGGGCAGGGCAAGGGGTCTTTGAGCCTCAAGGCTAGTGCTGTCACCATGGACTGTGCAGGTTAGGATGTTATTTTTATCTCTGACAGAAAAAAATCTATAACCTTTTTGAATGAGAGCCGTGTATTCTTAACCACTCAGCCAGCCACTCCTCTATGCTGTCTACTGCAGTTTACTGCCTTTATAAACCACTTCTGTGGTGTAGACAGGGGGGTCTTTGAACCTGAGGATTTAAAGTCACATGGCTAGTACTGTCGCCACGACTGTGCAGGTGAGGATGTTATTTTACTCCTGACAGAAAAAATCCCCAGCCTTACGGAGGATTTGAACCCAGGTCTCCCGCATAAGAGCCCAGCGTTCTAACCATTTAGCCAGCAGCTACATGCTGTCTACACTGATTTCCATCTTCCTGTGTATTTCTATACATAATTTTCTTTGTAGCATCAGGAATTTTATCAGAGCCACAATCTCTGACTTCTTCATTGTTGTGACAAATCATTGGGATAGCATATCTGGTGAATAATGTGTGTGTTGCACTGTGCACCATAGTATGAGAACCCATTGAAGAAACAAATGCACACTACACATTTACATGTTAAGTATTAACATGAGAAGCTTTGCATGTGTTAGCTGTAAGCTTTCTCCTGTTACTCGTTTTGAGGGCCTAAAGTTACAATTATCCCATTGTATTCATGTCTTTTGTTGTGTCTTTGGTCCCATCTACCTGTCTAAAGATCTCATATATACAGTTAACTACATGAGTCTTTTTTGTTGTATCTGGTCTTGTCTGTCTGCCTGTCTGGAGATCACATTTATAATGTCTGTGACTGCTTTCATGGATTTTCAGCATGTTTTTTTTTTCAGGTTTTATTTAAAAGAAAACAGTCATACACTTTGATAGAGAACTGCACAAAGTATTATTTTTAAAAAACTACTCACTGACTGAATATGGTATAAATAATGTTTAATTCAGATGAACATATAAATGAACAATCACTGAGAAAGGTACACATAAGTTTTTTTCCCCCTCAGGAAAACATAGTAATAAACTGTGATGTAACTGTAACAGAAAATCAAAACAAGGGTCTTAATTTGAACAGCAGGACAATTGAAGTAATGGTAACTACTGAAGACAATGGCCCCTCCAAAATGCAACATCAAAATTAGTGGGACAGTCCTCAAGCTAGTTGATATGTTCAAATACTTGGGTACACTGATAACAGCAGATAGAAGATGTATTATAGAAGTTAAATGTAACATAGCTCAAGCAAAGGCAGCATTTTACAAAATAAAGAATTTTTTTGCTATCTATCTTTGTCAGTTGAGAGAGTTAATTCCCAAGTGCTATATAAATCCTATCCTGTGTATAGAAATGGAGAAGATATGGTTTTTGTAGATGAATGATGCGAATACCCTAGACCAGTGTTTCCTAAACTTTTCTTAGTCATTGCACCTTTTTTTTTTTAACAATTAAAATTTTCCACGGCGCCCTAACCTAAGTAAAAGTATGACTATTCACATGTAAGAAAAAAATAACACTCTATCTTCAAATATTTTGCGGCGCCCCTGTGAAGAGGTCGCGGAGCACAGTTTGGGAATCACTGCCCTAGACAGATAAAAAAGGGTAATGAAGATGCCTGGAAAGAAACTGACTCACAAAGAGAACCGACTTCTAGCATCAGAAGGAGGCAATCTACATTTTTTTGAGAAGGAGTAAAGTCAAGTACCTTGTGATGGTGGAAACGTTGGAGGGGAAAGAGGTGGTAGAAGGAGACAGAGAGAGAAGATGCTGGACAATTTGACATCATGGCATAGAAGATAATCTGTGTCAGAATTTATTGGGTGCTTTATTAATATCTTACCCCAAACAGGGGAAATCCACAGGTCACGAGACAGTCAAATATTTCAGGGGGTGGTAGATAGGCTGCATGCAGTCGTGAGACCTGGGCTGCAAGCACTTGTGAGACCTAGGCTGCACTCTCTTGTGGGACGTAGGTGGGTTGTAGTTAGGGCTAGTTCTAGATGTTTTAAGGTGGTTAAAAGTATTAGAAAGCCGGGTAACCCAGTCTTACCACTTTCTAAAATGTTGGACTGTCCTGTGACGTCATCTGGGGTAAGATATCAGGAAAGAACCATTTGTTGAAAGTCCATGAGACTGAAGGTTATGGATAGTCATGACTGTTAGTGCCAGTCTGAATTTCTATTATTTCTAAAGTAAATCAACCCCTGAAAATAAGGCATCTTGGAGAGGAAAAATAAATTAATAAAAGACCCAGGCTTATTTTCCTGGAAAAATGATCATAAATGCTGATTCAGCATTGCATTTATGTTTTTTTTCTGTTCAACGTACTGTAGTATGAAAAACTGAATTTTGTGTGTGTGTGGTTGTGTTTCTTTGTTTGAAGTAAAATAGATTTGAAAATTGCATGCTTATTGTTTCTTTAGAGTAAACTAGTGTCACATAATGATTGCACACGACATGCATGTTTTCTTTGGAGTATTCTGGTATTACATAATGACAGAACACTATTTACCTAATATTTTCTTCAGAAACCCTCATGATGAGATACATGAATCTTCACCATTTTACAGTACTTAGCCTGGACAGTATGTTCAAGTTTGGAGATGACAATCAGTTACCCAGAGAAGTGAGCATTTTTTACCATCTGTCTTGTTTTGTTAGCTCTAACCATGACACCAGTTCCCAGTCATGCAGGTCTGCAGCCTTACAGATATCAATCCAGGTGATGAATGGATACCAGCGTCTAAAGCAGCCAATCTCACATCCTCCTGTGTCGTGACACTTGGTAGGAGTTGTCGGGGGCAGAATCCAGCTGCCGTCAATGCCGAGGTATGCGCGCTTATCAGTTACAAGTCAGATGAGACAGATATGCTGATCTTCACAGACGGGCCCATTATACGAGGACATATGAGTGCATGGGCATTTACAGCATGCTCTTCAGTTCAAGAAGCCAACGGTGCCATCTCCATGACTTCCAGCAGCATGATGATGCAGGTGATGGCGGTGACACAAGCTTTCATGTGGCTAGAATCGCAGGACTATTCCCACGTGTGTGTGCTGAGTGATTCTTTGAGCATGATCCAGCGGGTCAAGGCAGTCTAGTTACGCAGAGAGTGGATTGAGTCATTGCAAAACTCTCCTATGTGTGCAGTTACCTTCATAGTTGTCCCAGGGCATGCAGGTGTTGTTGGTAATAAAAGAGCTGACAGACTGGCAGGTGTCGCATTAATTGAAGATGGCCGGCACATGGATCACGCAGACATTGTCAATGCCCTTAGAGAGATAGGATGTTCTGAGGATTTTGGAAGCAGCATGTCCACATCACTGCTAAGAATATGAGACTTGGGAGTAAAGATCGGCACAGCCAAGCATGAGAAGCACACCGGACGCACACAAAGTCTTGTTAACCAGCATAGGACTGGCACTATTAACTTGCGACGTTGATGAATATGTTGAGAGGGGAATCTGAGCACATATGGATGTATCAGGAGTTCTGTGAAGATAATCCAACTCATATCTCATAACTCATAAGCAGTTCCTAGTTAGCAAAGACCTACAGGTATCTGTTATGTTCAGAGCTCTGCCACAGACCCCTGTCCTTTGTAATAGCCGTACTGAGGAACTTGTTTATGATACATATAATGAACAGACAATGTATTAATTGACACTAATAGGAAGAAGTAGAAAGATAGAAGGACACACTACAAAACGTAAAAGATATAAGGCTTTGATATATACTTAGATATTTACAGATTTCTTGAACATCACTGCATTTATCTGAGATGTTCACAGATTTCTTAAACATTTTTGTATTTATCTGAGATATTTACAGATTTCTTGAACATTATTGTATTTATCTGAGATATTTACAGATTTCTTAAACATTATTGTATTTATCTGAGATATTTACAGATTTCTTGAACATTATTGTATTCATCTGAGATATTCACAGATTTCTTGAACATTACTGTATTTATCTGAGATATTTACAGATTTCTTGAACATTACTGTATTTATCTGAGATATTCACAGATTTCTTGAACATTATTGTATTTATCTGAGATATTTACAGATTTCTTGAACATTATTGTATTCATCTGAGATATTCACAGATTTCTTGAACATTATTGTATTTATCTGAGATATTCACAGATTTCTGGAACATTATTGCATTTATCTTAGATATTCAGAAATTTCTTCAACATTATTGCATTTTCTTTTTCTTCTTTTCTTCACTCCCGGAATGCGTGATGGTATCAGGGCAGGAAGAGAGCTGTAGGACAGGCTCTTTTGTTCACTTCATATAAAGTACTTTTCAGCATCTCCTATATTTCTGCGGTCCATATTCTGTCTGGTCGACCTCTGGATCTGTTACTGTATGTATATAACATTGCTGTCTGTGGTGCCCTGTCTGATGCCAATCTTGTTACCTGGCCAAACCATTTGATTATTGCATTTGTCTTAGAAATTCACAGATTTCTTGAACAATATTGCATTTATCTTAGATATTCACAGATTTCTTGAACATTGTTTACTTTCTCTTAGATTTTCAGATGTCCAAATGTGAAGTACCTGAGCTTAAAGTACAACAGTCTGGAGTATATTCCCTGTGATATTGGCCGTATGTGTAGTCTAGAGTACCTGGCACTCACCAACAACAAGCTGTCTGTGTGGTCTCTTCCTTTCTCATTAACATTCTTGAAGCGGTTGCATACTCTGTACTTAGGTAAGTGGATGTGACTAAATCCAGTGCTTTCCCCTAGCATATATATGCCCACTTATTTTTTTAAATTTTTTTTTATCTTAGTAAGCATAAACAAAATGCCATTCTGGTCTCAAGACTCAATGAAAGGAAAACCTCAACTGCACCTCCACGCGGTAGAGGACGGTAAACACACTGCGGTGTGGCCAACGCAGCTATGGGGACCGAGTATCCGCTGGGATAAGTGGACACCTCTGGGGTGCCCTCTGCTGTTAGCAGGAGCATCACAGAGCACTCACTTGCCCTAGCAATCTAAAAGGTTGCTGAATTCTTAGGACATGGTCTAAAGCCATGTGGATGTGGAAAGCAACGGGAAACTACCACATTACTATCCCAAGAAACTCATCATATTTTGAGAGCATGCATCTTCCCTGTGGCTACATACGGATGTGAGTCGTGGACTATCTCTCAGTCCTTAAGAAAGAGAATTGGGGCTCCTGAGCTGAAATGCTATAGAAAAATTCTCAGAATATCTTGGACAAAGAAGATGAGAAATATTGACATCTTAAAAGATCTGAACATCAAGGAAGACTGGCTAATAAACACCATCCTTTCTCGAAAGCTAAAATATTTTGGTCATATCAAGCGCCACGACGGATTGGAAAAAATTATAGCAGAAGGCATGGTTTCCAGGAAGGAGGGGCAGGGGCCGACCACATGAAGATGGGCACAAGATATAAGTGACTCCTTGAGTGTGAAAGTTCATGAGGCGGGAAAACTAGCAAGAGACCAAGTTTCTTTCAGGCAGACTGTGATGAGAGCGACGTTCTGCAAAGGACCTGCTACGTGATGATGAAGCATAAACCTTCCCTAGACATTGCAGTTATTGTCCTAGTAATTAATATTATTTAGGAATGTTAATTCGAGCACATTCTAGCATTTCAAATTAACATATTTTAGTTGTCTAAGATTACCTGTTAAAAGATGTGTGAATGAAATAATGAATGAAAGTATTGAGATCAGGACTGCATAATTTTAGATGGGCTTTCCTGTCCGATTCTTAACCCTTTGATAATAAAGTGTGTTAATGTGTTCGCTATTAAATGATCGTATCTTTAAGAAAACAGTGATGATTTTTTCACGTCTTTTACATTTCTGGAAATATTCAAATGAGTACCAGAGGATATTTTGAGAGGTAAGGCAACAGTGACACTGACATCAACTCTTAAAGCGGTTTGAATACTTTGGAAATGAAAAGAAAAAAAAACAGTGCAAACAGTGACTTGGCTGACAGGTTAACCCAGCCTAAAATGGGTACCACGTAATGTCCAATGAAGCAGAGACAGTCGGCAAGATGTTGAGTTAACATTACTCATCAAGTGCTGATTGATCAGTAAATATACAGGTCTAGCACTATATCCCTGATGCCCAAAGGTGTGAAAACAGATTGATCAGTAAATATACAGGTCTAGCACTATATCCCTGATGCCCAAAGGTGTGAAAACAGATTGATCAGTTAATATACAGGTCTAGCACTATATCCCTGATGCCCAAAGGTGTGAAAACAGATTGATCAGTAAATATACAGGTCTAGCACTATATCCCTGATGCCCAAAGATGTGAAAACAGATTGATCAGTTAATATACAGGTCTAGCACTATATCCCTGATGCCCAAAGGTGTGAAAACAGATTGATCAGTAAATATACAGGTCTAGGACTATATCCCTGATGCCCAAAGGTGTGAAAACAGATTGATCAGTAAATATACAGGTCTAGCACTATATCCCTGATGCCCAAAGATGTGAAAACAGATTGATCAGTTAATATACAGGTCTAGCACTATATCCCTGATGCCCAAAGATGTGAAAACAGATTGATCGGTAAATATACAGGTCTAGCACTATATCCCTGATGCCCAAAGATGTGAAAACAGATTGATCAGTTAATATACAGGTCTAGCACTATATCCCTGATGCCCAAAGGTGTGAAAACAGATTGATCAGTAAATATACAGGTCTAGCACTATATCCCTGATGCCCAAAGATGTGAAAAGGGGCTCCTCTACACTAATAAGACTTCCCCGTAGAGAAAGTAAGTAAAGTAAAAGTAAAGGACCCTTTTCCACACCTTTTAGGTGTATAGGGCTAGACCTATATTTTTATAGACCAATCAGCACAAGATGAGTGATGTGGTCAGCATCACGCCGGCCACCTTTACTTCCTGGGACTGCACCCGGTACCCACTCGAGTCTGGGTCGACCTGGAAGCCAAGGTCATTTTTTAAAATAGTCCGGCTCCGCAAAGGAGCGAACCCACGACCGTAAAGAAAGTACAAATAATAAATGTGTGTCTTTTACTGTTTACAGATAATAACTTGCTGGATGCTCTTCCTGGGTTCCTGTTGTCACTGCCAGCACTGGAGACTGTTCACAGACACGGCAACCACAACTATTTCAAATCTACTTTCATGTGGTATCATACAGATGTCAACCTACGTATTATCCCTGTTTCTGGTGATACCCAGGTGAGAATTGTTTCTTCGACTCTTTCCACTCTTAAGTGTGTCTACATTTGACTAACCCTCTAGGACTAAGTTTAACCCTTTCGCTGCTGCGCCCTTAGCCAGCCAACTTAACCACTGTGCTAAGCCAGGCGAGTGGTAATCTTTCCTCCTGTGCTAAATACCTTTTTCCCCTCCAAAAGCAGAAGACGCGCTTGCGGCACGGGGTAAAAATTGTACACCTAAAATAAAAACTCTTTGAAGGCGCATGGTTGACCTTTGCGCTGACAAGTCGGACTCGCTTGGGCTACACCATGAAAACACATTAACAAAAGGAAAACATTACAAACTTTCAAAGCAAACACAAAACACTTTGTAAGCAAATACATGGTTTTTTATTATTATTAATATCTTTTTGTGTGAAATATTTCAAAGCAAGGTGCGACACACAATGCCAAATCACAGTCCTTGCACATGTATCTGGGTTTCCCACCATTTTTTGCTTTCTGCGCATACCAGACACTTTCTTGTTGGGAATTTATTCTGTGATGTTATGGACTCTGTTATTGAAGGGAAATGCCTTTGTACTAAACGAAGTGGCAGATCTTCACTTTTTTTGTCCTCCTGCACTTTTTCTCTTTTTTCTTGCAATATTTCTGTAGAATTTCTCTTACTAACATTAAGTGAAATTGGGCAACAGGAGTGTTTTTCCACACAAATGAACAGTACACCAACCATGCTTCACAAAGCAACAGGATAATGTGTAACGCATCTAAATGCACCTGAACGCATGTGACAGGATGTTTAATTAATTAATTCTTTGGTGATCTGTTGCCGAAAGATCTAAGAGCTTAAATTTAGAATTTACATTTAAAAGAATAACTAAAATAAAGAAAACGGCATGTAGGAATTGAACGCAGGACTTTTCAGTTGTAAGGCAGACGTGATACCAACTACGCTAGAAATTCATATGAAAATTGGTACCGAAAATAGGACCAGTATTGTACACTTTGATAGACAGACACAGTTTTATCAGTTGTATAGTATATTAGAAACATTAGTATTAATTATCATGTCAGTACGTGACCATATCTTCATTTTGATTATTGGAGATTCATTTCAAATCCAGTCAATATAGGTAGCTGGGTCATATGGTCAGTCTTGCTCACGGCTAGAAGTACACGTGTCCGCCGGCGTGCCGCGAAGAAAACCCAGCTCATATAACTCAAAATATTTCAAAGTTATTCTTACTATTACTCCTCGAAAAAAACTCCATGAATTCTTCATTAACTATAATTAACCAATTTTCTTGTTATTTTTGTATTTTAGAAAAAAGTCGACTAACGCAAAACCATCTTAGCAATCTGTAAGAAAAGTTGAAGACGAGTTAGCTTGTCCTTAGCAGTGAGGGCACAGAAAACGGAAGACGAGTTAGCTCGTCCTTAGCAGTCTACCGGGCAGACGAGTTATCTCGTCCATAGCAGCGAAAGGGTTAAATGGTACAATTCCCAATCAGAATGAGTTAAGGTAACAAATAAAATAAAAATTACAGTAGGAGAAGAATTTAAATGAGAAAAGTTAATACCATTATTATGTGCACAGAATAATCAATGAATGTAAAGTATGTTTATGGCACTGAAAAAGATTCGTTTTCTCAGTGTGTTTTAACCACGGCCAGCTCCAGATATAAGGCCATACAGCCGAAACGGGAATTCCCATTTTTGTGAAGCTGGCTATTTTCTAATAGCCCATTTATTTATCTGAAAAATAATAATTAATTCAAAAAAACATGTTGCAAATTAATTAAATTGTTGTTCAAAATGTGTATAAATCTACTCAATACAATTGTTACCACCGACTGGTCATGCCAGCCTCACAAAAATGGGAATTCCCACTTGAGCTGTATGGCCTTATATCTAGAGCTGGCAGTGGTTCTAACCGGTGCTAGCCTTTTTCAGCCCTTACTTAATTTATTCATTTGTATTGGTTTATTATTTTAGCATTTATATTAAGTATCTGTTTTACTTGGACATTACCCTACCAGACCTGACGCCCTGAACCTAACTGTCCCTATAACCTGAGCTCCTGGGCACTAACATGCAAAAAACCAACATGATGTACAACAAAATTAGTTACATGCAAACAAGTGGTTAGAATAAGATAAAACTTGGAGACATTGTAGAAAATAGGTTTACCTTTTATCTAGCGCCAATCTTCCCCCCTTTGTTTGCCAATCCACCTAGTAGGATCAGTCTTGATTCACAAAGTAAGCACCAGATGTTGCTGTTTGAGGGACACGCCCCTTTCTCTTACTATCGATCTAGTTTTAAATCTATAATTTTCATAATTCTCCTCCTCACTCTAGCTCTAACTGACTGTGTCACTTCAACTGGGAAAGTATTCTTTATGAAGGTATTCACAGTTTGAATTAATCAAAGAATCGATCAACTGTTGGACTGTGATAAGCCTAGACCTACATCACTTTCTTGTCGGAGCCGCTCGTTTCATTGAGAATTTTCCAAATTTTTTTCGCATCAAACCACTCAAAGAAATCTCAACACACGTGGGAAGTCATCCGCAATGACTAGCAACAAAGTCTGATGGCGATTGGCTGGTTATTTTAAGTCTGTGATGCATATTTGTCACATACTACTTAAATTCCCAGAAAAGTGGGCCAGCGGTTTAGCGGCTGGTTAGGAAATTCCCGGAAAATCGGGCCAGCGGTCTGGTAGGGTTAACTACAGAACTCTAGAGAAAACTAACCATCTGTGAAAGGAGGTGTTTGAGCAATGCCATGAACAAAACCAGAGAAGATCGTTTTAGAAATGAGGGGATTAGAAAATGTAGTGGAACAGTAAAAGAAAACTATCTCTAAACTTCTGTATATATGCGGTCGTGAACCTGTGGATTTAAAGCCTTATAATTAGTACGGCACCACAAACTGCAGCTTAGGATTTTTATTTTGCCCCTACAGGAATCCCTTAACAAGGATCAAACCCGGATCTCCACCGGAAAAAATCATCATCATTGTCCTGTTGTGCCATTATATGTCACATAAGGCTCACCATGAATGCCCGTATTCTATTTTATCCTGTGCAGTCTCTTTGATGTCATGGATGGAATCCAGTCCCGCACCTTTGGGCTGTTTCATCAGTGTTTGTTTTAGGGTTTGTTATGGATGTCCTCGCCTCCTCAATCCTTTTATTTCCCGTTTTAATGACTGTTCCATGATTCTCTGCTTGCTTCTTCTCAGGATGTGTCCTGTATAGTCCCATCTTCTTTGTTTTGTATCTCTCGGTATGAGTTGTTGACAGACATTTCTCTTGTATACTGGAACAATACCTATTGTTTAATTTATTAAAACAGAGAGTAAAGTGGTTCAGCTACCTGGTGAGAATGATTTTGACGATGCCAGCAGGGCGTGCTTCTGATAGTTTCACAAACTGAGTATATGACCTTTTAGGCTAAATAAACCTCCCAGGCCCTGTCAGTTTAAAAAAAAAAAAATCCACCTTGATGGGGATTCAAACCTATGCCTTATTGTCTCAAAGCAAGCGACTATTCTTCTTCTTCTTCTGCCCTTTATCACCGAACCGATAACAGACCTTCAACAAACACCAAAAAGCAGTGAAAGGCCTAGAAGAAATGGCATGAAGGAGTCAATGACAGCCTGTGACTTCACAATATCCTAGTGCACCAAGCAATCAAGCATGCCCTGGCATGGCTACTTCTCTTAAACTGCAGCGGCCAGTGACACAAAGTAGGTATTAAACAAAACAAGAAGGAAACAAGATATGTTCAGCTCTCTCTGAAAGCTCTGCTTCTATTAATGCAAAACTAATAAGACCAGATCTTCTTTCAGCGTTCTCCCGCCAGCGTTCAGCTTCACAGCTGTCTAAAAAAGTGTTAATAAATCTGGTGGCAGTTTAAAATTAATGAGAATTGTCTGCAATTATTGTGTAACACAGCAACAACAAAAAAGAGACGGAGAGAAAGAGAAGTAAATGACTTGAACAAATAGGCAGATTTATTACCTGTTGTAGACTTCATAAAAAAAGCAATTAAAAGTAAAATGGTTTTGCTAGATTCATGGCTACTGTAAGACATAGCTTTACAGAAAGCAGTATCACTCGGATCAAACAGGTCTATCTCGTTGAGTGTGCCATTTCCTAATTTATTTTGAATGTTGCATATTAACTGATATTTTGTTAATAAATGTTCATTGTAAAAATTGTTTTTTTTTTATGTTTCATTACAAATTGTTTTAATAATTTATTGCATTATATATTCTTATTTTCTTTACGTCCTCTTTTACCGCTTTGTGTGTCAAGGGAGATATAAGGTCCTGCTTCGTGCTCTTCTGGCTGCTTTGACCATAGACACATCATGGTGCTGTAGAATCTTCCCATTTTGTTCTTGTCTACCACTTGCTCTGTGTTCTTTTCTTCTTTTGATGTATGCCTTGTATAATATAGCATCAGAAGGCATTCTTTCGAAGTGGGCAAACCATTTGATTTGCTTTGTATATAATTGAGAATTGGTTCTGTGCTGACTTTATCTCGTGAAACCTCATTCCTGATTTTATCTCTTCTGGTCACTCCTACATTATTATATATTACATGTTGTTTTCTTAATTAATTTTCATTGTTAGTATAAAATTTGTTTTCTGTATTTCATAATGAATTGTTATTTTTGAAAATTCTTAATTATATATTCGTTGGTGTTTTCTTCATTAATTTTAATTGGTATTCATTAATCAAAGATTAATTAGCATTTAAAGGCTATGGTAAAGCACCAGAAAGTTAATCCCCCAAAATAATTATGGACCTTGCATCTTCCCTGTAGCAATATACGGATGTGAGTCGTGGACTATCTCACAGTCCTTAAGAAAGAAAATTGGAGCTTTTGTGCTGAAATGGTATAGAAATATTCTCAGAATACCATGGGCAAAGAAGAGAAGAAATACTGACATTTTGGAAGATTTGAACATCAAGGAAGATTGGCTAATAAACAGCATCTTGTGTAGGAAGCTGAAATATTTTGGTTATATAAAGCGCCGTGGCGGATTGAAAAAAAAATAATAGCAAAAGGCATGGTACCATGAAGGAGGGGCAGGGGCTGACCAATACAAAGATGGGCACAGGAAATAAGTGATTCCTCGGATGTGAAAGTGCACGAGGTGGGAGAGCTGGCGAGAGGCCAAATTTCTTTCAGGCAGAACTTGATGAGGGCAACGGACCTGCTACATGATGATGATGATGCAGCATTGATGCTTTTCTTAATTTATTTTAAATTGTATGCAGGAAATGAGGGCTAGTTGATCTATAAGTGAATTGATTTGCACCTTTGAAGATGAAATGCATCTACCTAGGTGGCAAGGAACAACCAACCGCACATAAATAAGCTGGTAAAACTGTTATACACACAAAACTTAGCTCTGGGAAGATGCTATTGATAGAAATCCTGGGGTAGAGTCATTCACTCATCAGGCATTGCTTGGGACTTTAGACTTAATCCAGTTGGTGTTAAAAGGTTTTGCTGCATGTATCAGATGTGGCAATCATTTGTTAAGGGTCCTTTACTTTTTTCATTCATAGCAGTAGCAAAGCTTATTTACACAACTGTTGTGTGTGATTACTTAACACATCAAGGGTTTTGTAAGAACAAAACTATTATTATGATTTATTTAAACAACTTTCTGGGTTTTTTCTTTTACTTATTAGGCTTACTGGAAGCATGAAAGCCTGCAGTTCTGGGCAGCAAAGTCTATCATAGGATCCAAGAGGGATTTTTTCCAAGACACCAACATTGCACCAGTTCTCAAAGACTATATATCTGACATTTATCATCATTTCAGTATTTGCCATCATTGTAACAATGCCTGCCTGTCTAACACATTGGGTGAGTTGAGAGAAGTTCATAATTATTACAGTGTTGAATTTTGAGCTAAGAACATATGACATCATAGCAGTCAGGACATTGCCATAAGTGCTGCAACCTCATCTTCAGCAGCCCATGGAAGAGTTGCAGTTTTGATGGTGCCAGTAGCAGTTTGATTATGTGTCAGTCATGCCTGTCCTGTGTGTAGAGTGTCGACTAAATCCCCTGGTCATTCCTTGATGTAGAAATCTCTCCAGACCGTAATGATCTGTTTATGCCTCCACATTGTTCACATGCTTCTAAAGGGCCTAGAGCACATCTAGCATGTCAGGCATAAATTCACCACCCATTGGTGCAGAAGCAGCCAACCTGTCTGCCTGTTCAGTACCAACAAGAAATGGGTACTAGGTAATGACCAGTGAAGTAAAGGTGGCTGGCATAATTTTCACCACATCACCCACTGAGTGCCAATTTGTCTATAAAGATATTGTCTAGCACAGTACAGTTAACATGCCAAAGGCATTACAAGGGTCCTTTCATTTACTTTTAATACAGATAACCAGAAATGGTGATTGAAATTTCCTGCAAGCAGGTTCTGAACAGTCACAAATACATTGTTGGGGTCCATAAAGGAAAAAAAGAATAGTAACTCAGTAATATACTGTGCATATTGTTAGAGGTGACTAAGTAATAGTGACTTATTAAGAGGTGATTCAGTAAGATATGACTAAATAAGAGGTGATTAAAAATAAGGGATTAAAAAGAGATAGTTAAATAAGAGGGGATTCAGTAAGACATGAGTGGCGCGGTGATTTATGTCACAGGCGTGAGGGGAAGTTAAGTCCAACATGATGTGTATAAGGAGATACTCCGTACGTCACTCGGGCGCCAGTCCTTTACTATCCTGGTTGTACGGAACCTCACGCAAGACCCCTACAGCACGTCCTCGTCGTGCGCCACGGATAATGTCTCAAATGAGCATTAACAGAGCTGTCAGGGGATCTCGGAGTTTGGCGGCCCCCAGAGGTGATGTGTCCTTGTGGCTCTCATCAGCCCGCCCCCAAACGCTTGGGTGAAAAATGTTATCAAAACTCATTAGGAACATGAGTAGGTTAGACAAAAGTACAGCTAAAATTACAACCCTTGGTTAAAAGACTGCGGAGTAAAGAGAACATTGCTCAATGCTCATCCTCGGTTAATTCTCAGTGTTGTCGTCACCGCGCTGAGGTGCACCACAACAGCAACCATACATGGGCTGGCCATCCTTGTGCATCCTCGGTTGGCCCTCAGTGTCGTCGTCACCGCGCTGAGGTGCACCACAACAGCAACCATCCATAGGCTGGCCAGTCACGTACATCCTAGGTTAACCCTTAGTGTCGTCGTCACCATGCTGTGGTACACCACAACAGCAACCATCCATCGGATGGCTAAGCCTAAATGTCCGACAAAACTAGATCATACGGATCAAAATCTGACCATCAAAATTTGCACTGAACTGAAAAAGGCCGAATGTCCACACCCAAAGACCCCACTCGCCCGAGTGTTGGGACAAAACTGATAACGATATGCCTGATTCAGGATGTGAAATTCTGTCGGGCTAATGTACCTATCTGTGTGGTCACAAAAGTCCAAAACCAACGGGCTGCTCCCCGCTGACTTCCAGAGGGCGCAGCCCCTGTCGAGCGGAAGGCCTGATACGGTTGTGAGGTTAAGCAGGCATGTGCAGGACGTGACGATTCCTTGGGTGAGCCCAGAACCAGAGCGCCATGTGCCGGCTCTGCATGCATGGAAGCCTCCTTGGATGGCGGGGAATGCCCATGATCTGCCCCTGCCTTCCCTTGAGGGCCAACTGTTTCACAGGGGGCTGCCCCAAAGGGGTACTCCGGGGGCAATACCTGCGGCGAAGGAGACAAGGCGGACACCACACAAACCAGGCAAAGTCTCGACCCACACAAAACAATGGCCACAGTCACCCTAGAAATAGGCCTGACGTCTTCCTTCGAAGTCGGCGTACAGCTGCCCAAGAGGCAGGGAAATGAAAAACGGTTGTACACGCAAAAATCAGGTCCAGGTGAAAGCCAAAAGTCCAAGCGGACGATTAACCGGGACCTTCCACTGGAATTCACAGCCGGTGTTCGATGAAAAAAAATGAAAAAAAAAGTAAGACATGACTATATAAGACATGATTCAGTAAGAGATGACTAAATAAGACATGATTCAGTAAGAGATGACTAAATAAAACATGATTCAGTAAGGGATGACTAAATAAGACATGATTCAGTAAGAGATGACTAAATAAAACATGATTTAGTAAGAGATGACTAAATAAGACATGATTCAGTAAGAGATGACTAAATAAGACATGATTCAGTAAGAGATGACTAAATAAAACATGATTCAGTAGGAGATGACTTAATAAGACATGATTCAGTAAGAGATCACTAAAAAGAGGGGACTAAATAAGAGGTGATTAAATAAGAGGGTACTAAATAAGAGGTGATTAAATAAGAAGTGATTAAATAAGAAGTGATTAAATAAGTGATTAAATAAGAGGGGACTAAATCAGAGGTGATTAAATAGGAGGTGACTAAATAAGAACTAAAAGGTAAACTAGACAACATGCATGTTGTGATTGTAACTAAATCACAAAGAATGTTGAAAAAGGTGGAGATGATTTGCTTTGTGCAGAGTGGCAAGCATGGCTTCAGAGGCTCTTTGGATATTTTCCAGAGGCTGTGAGGGTGTGTTGTGAAATGAACAGGCAGGCAGACTGGCTGCTTCTGCACCACTTGGTGGTAAATTGATGCACTACTTGGTGGTAAACTGATGCACGACAAGGCCTTTTGGGAGCAAGTGAAATTTGTGAAGGCACATTTGGATCATAAGTCTAAAAAGAATGATGCAACAGGGGAAGACCAGAGGATCTGGCCGACACTCCAAACTTACAGGAAAGACAAGATGGGCATACAATCAGGCTGTTACTAGTAACATCGGAATTAAAACTTTTAGCTGCCTGCCGAAGATGGGGATGGAGCACTTATGGGAATGTCCTGAGTGCTTTGATGCTGGTTCTTGAAGCTCTTCTAGACAACTCAGTAGATTTAAAATGTTTATGATGATCATCATCATAGTCCCCTGACATGTTGTGACATCAGATCACCACTTGCTGTTGTATAATCAGTTCCCTCCACCTCTGTCATTCAGATGCAGTAGACTTGAAGCTAGCAGGGTTGAGCCTGTCCCTTGAGCAGATTCAATATCCACATCTTTCTTTATCTGCCACTTCTCCTCTTCCCCTCTGCCAAGCCGAGTATTATCGTTTTGTATTATTGTTACAGACTACACGAGAAATGCGCTGTCTCCGCAAGGTCACTAACAACATAAAAAGAGACAGGGTTACAAATATCAGCATTAGAGAGAAAGTTGAAATTTCTTCTTCTGCGTTCAAAATCAGTCATGCTAAACAATGAGTCCCGTCTGGGTCACAAATAGGATTGTGCGTTTAATGTAGCCACCGGTCCCCCATAGCTTCTCTTGCAATGTGGCTCCCTTGGGCCAGATCCACAGTCTTTGCTGGGAGAGGTTAGGGCAGTGCTGCAGTATGTGCTCAGGGGTGTGTCTTTCTGCTCCACAATCACAGGCAGCAGATTCTTTTATGCCTATCCTGTACAGGTGTGCTCGAAGACCACGGTGTCCTGTTCGAAGTCTAAAATTTGATGTTTGTTCTTTCCTGTTGAGTTTGTTTATTCTGTCACTCTCTGGTCTGTAATCTCCGTTCTTCCTTCTCCACTCCCACTTGAAAGACTGCTTTAGCGCTGTTTTGGTTTCCTTGTAGCTGTGTGGTGGATGAGGTTGTGGAAGATTACTCCCAGCTTTTGCCAACTCATCTGCTCTCTCATTTCCTTGAATACCACAGTGGGCTGGTATCCACTGCAAGATCAGTTCTGCTTCCCTGGAGAGTAAGCCAATGTTGGTCCTTAGATCTGCAATTAGTTTGTCTTGTTTTTGCTTGATAGTGCTTGGAGAACAGACAATGAGTCACTAAGTATAACTAAGTTGGAATAAGATCATGTATGGATTATATTGACAGACAAAGAATGAAATGGTTCAGCCATCTAGTGAGAATACAGCCAGGCCAAACTGCAAATGATTTTTACAGCAGAACACCTGGGAGGAAGGCGAGAGGAAGACCAAGAAAGATATGGATAAATGGTGTAGGTGAAACCTGCAAAAAAAGATAAACACAATTCATCACCTAAGCCACCCAGGAAGCGCATGACAAATATAGAAAACCACGACAATGGTATACAACCTGGTATCAGTGAGATGACAAAAGAAAAAGTATTTTTACATGTCCGCACAATTGCATTTTGAGTCTTTTTACTCATGCTACAAGTGGTTCACAGTTGCCAGTGTGTTAAGTGATGTTATGGTGATTTCATTTCCAATGATTGTATCTTCTGTTCAAGTTGGATGTTAAGGTTCATGTTTTACATATATATGTAAATGTATTGATAGCTAATTTATCATCAGTGCGTGTATTAATTACAGGCATTACATAATTACACATGTTTTTTTTTCTCACCACAGACTGTTTAAAAAAAAAAGGTGCCGATATTCACCACAAAGTGTCTATTACAGCCGAAAAAAAAAATAAAGCCTCCTAAAAAGAAAAAAGATACCTGTATTGTGCACCATTGTGTACTGCCAGGGGAAAAAAGCCCCGGTTACATATATCTTTGTGTATGCAGACAGAGCTACTTTATCTGGTTGAAAATTATAGCAAAATCTAACCAGTGTTAAGCAAGACCACACTTTAGGGCAGAGTGTGGGGCCTTAGAGCCAGAAAATCTAGGGTCACACGAATAAGCACATATGTTCTAAAAATGATATCAGATATATCTGCACACAGAAGACACCAGCCAGTCATCCTCATTTCGTAGCACTGTGTGCTGTTCGGTCACCAGGTTAATAATTCCATCAGCTAGGTTTACAAGTTCGATTAGCTCTTTTTCTTCCCCGGCCAACCCGTCGAAGTCATCTGCAAACCTTACATTTGTTACGATTCGTTCCACTTAAAAATATTTCTGATTTTTTTCACTAATCACTAGCAGATATATAAAATGTATCCTAGTGAAGTGGCTAATTAATTCACCAGCATGCTTATTGGTCCTGAGCTCACATCCCCCTGGTTTTAGTTTTTTGGTTTTCTCGTTACTTTAGAGATTCAGGTACCTCAATAAATGCATCGGTCTTCTCTTAACATTTTGGTGACCAGCAGTCCGGTGCATTATTGTCTCCCATTACCTAGGCCATTTGCAGATTTATTTCAAAATGACTGGTTATCTAATGAAATGCATTTGAATTTGTTTGGCTGTTTATAAAAATTTCAGGAGATATTTTAACTCTTTGAGTCCCAAGGAATGCATCATACATTCATAGATTCTTACCTAGAAGCCCAATGAACGCAAGATGTGCCGATTTTACATCTCTCTTGACTACCCCTTGGGCCTGTGGTGCTAAACCCTCTGTGACTCAAAGAGTTAAAGCCATCATCTTTATCCAGTTTTTAGCTAATTTACTACACAGTACCATACCAGTCTGAAGGCCTATGAATGCAGAAATTTCAATTGCATCAGTATGATCCCAAGTGAGCTTTTTTGTGCTTGGCATTTCATGTGTACTAAGAGAGGGAATTTTTACTGTGCCTGTTGACTTCACAGATCTATGGCAGTGCCAGGGGGAAACACTTGGAAAAACAAAATCAACCGGCATACACCCAATTTTTGTCTGGCATGGTTGAGTAAACATAGCATTTGATAATTCTCATTTGAAGTGTGTTGTTGATTCCTTGTTTATGCTCTGACATCTTTGATACCTGTTCACAGGTTTCAAGGTGATCACTTTCAAGAACCCTTACCTGGGAAACACCTGCGTGCCCTTCCAGCACTGGGCATGCTCTCTAGAATGTGCAAAAGCTGTCGAGGTCCCTGCTCGACTGGAACAGATCTCAGCAGCCAGAGAGCTGGACCAGCAATACGAAAACTACATTAGAGAGTGCATTAAAAAATTTGCTAACTGCCGAAACTCACGCAGCATGCTGTCTTGTGCTTCTTCTGCAAAATCGCCAGATTACTGGGGAGTAAAATGGGGAGATAATTTGGACGCTGCGGCCAAAGTCCAGGAAGTAGACTCTGAACTTAGTGGTTATCCAAGGAGGCGTCGGAATAGACAGCGGCTAGACAAACAGATCTCCATCAGAGACTCTGTGAAAACAAAATGTGGATGTGTAATCTCCTGATACTTACTACCATGATAGTTACAGCTGTGACAGAATGGGAATCATCTTCCACTGTTTTTGCCTTCAGAAAAAGTGAATGGCACTTTGTGTGGTTTAAAGCTAGGCTGCGCCTTTTGATCCAGCGCATCCATTTTCAGCAGACTCTTCATTAGTCGCCTTTTACAGCATGTTTGTTAAGGGGCTAGTGGATCTATTCTTGTTTTTCCTAAATGTGGATTCCTGAGATCTTGTGAGGAGGTTATGTGCTGCAGTGTAAATCCTGATGTATTGACAGTTATTGAGATTAATATGGCTGCAGCAAGATCATTAGACAGTTGCTGGCAGATTCGTGTCTTTCCAGACGACAGTATACCATTGTCCAGTGGGAGGTATGAGAACCACTGCACATGGTAATACCAATTAAGCCCAGAAAGCAAGATCCACTTCTCCAAAGCCTTAGGAGTATGGTAGAGTCCATGTGTTGCCCATGATCTCTCTCTCTCTCTTGGTTTGTTTTAAAAGACGACTGACTGGGAATGTATGAACATATGTATGAAAATTATAGTGGAACGGATTCAACAGGATGTGAAGGATTGATACAGTTTTTCCAGAGGATAATTTCTGTAGCATTAAGACATGAGGACATAGAAAATGTATAGCACCATTTATTGCCTGGTATATTTCACTGTTTCTCATCCGCTGCATGCTACAGAATATATATATATGTAAAACCTGACTGGACAGGCCCCAGGCATGCAACCATGAAGTCCATCGCAACTGATATCTTGGCTGTACACGCCCGGGTGAAATGATATGTACTGGCTGTTGGAGGGACAAATATGGACAGATGAAACATACTAAAATCGCTGCATTCCAAAGATGTTGAGATAAAGAAGTCAGAGACCATAAAGTGCCTGTTGGAAATGGATACTGAACGAGGACAAGCAAGCAGGAAGCAGTTGTGTGGTAAAGAAGAAATGCTAATCGTCTCCTGACTCTGCTGGGAACGCTGAGCATGGAGACACTGAGATGACTGCTGCATCGGAGGATGGAGTATGAATGGTCATCACCCCTTAATACTACATGTCGTTGGGTCACCAGTTTCTGTTGACTGTCTGATCAGCTCTCTCCACCTTTGGCAGTCAGTTGCGATGGACTTCATGGTTGCATGCCTGGGGCCTGTCCAGTCTGTCAGTTTTTATATATATATATATATATATATATATATATATATATATATATATATATATATATATATATATATATATATATATATATATATAGGTAAAGGACCATTTTCCACACCTTCCAGTGTATTGGGCATATAGGGCTAGACCCGTATTTTATTGAACAGTCAGACCTTGGTGTGCAATTTGGTCAGCATCACATTGGTCATCTTGACTTCCCAGGACTTTATCTTATACCCATTTAAGGCTGGGTTGACCAGAGAGCAAAGGTTGTTTTTGAAAAGAACAAAAAAAAAGTCTGGCTCCATCAGGTTCTAAACCTATGACCTTTCAGGTGAGCATTTAGCCGCTACATCATGCTGGCTCTCATAGATATAGATAAGATGAAGCACACAGATGAATTCCTGTTACTGGAATACACACATCACAGCCCATCGTTACACTGTCCTCCTCACCATGGAAGTCTTAGATTAACCATGTAATCCTTTTGTTTACATGCAGAAGAATTGCCAGATCTTGCCCGTGCATGGTGAGGTGTGCAGCATAATAAGGGACTCAGTGATTTTTCTATATATTATGAAAAAATATTCATTTTGTGCTTCTTTAAATGTTGATGCACATTCTATATCAGTCACTCAAAAAGATAAGCAAAATATGCCAGGCAATGTGTAGTTTGGTCCCCATTGTTAAATTTGCACTGGGAAAAACACTGTTTTGAATTTGGAGAAAAGCAACCTAAATGTTTTGAAAGAGGCGAAGGCTCACAGACAGTTTATCATGAATATCAGAACAACATTCATCATTTTTTGATCATATGAGAAGAAACAAACTAAAACATGATGTGACCACTGGAAAGAACTGTGGTAAAAGAGACAGAGGAAAACGGCATGAGAAGATTCTTGACAGCCTTTTGTCATGGCAGTGAAGGGTGTCATCACATGAACTGAGATCCTGTTGAAGATCACAGGTTGTGGAGAGGCATGATTGCCCATGCCACACGGCAATGCACTTGATGATAATGATGGCTTAAGGTGTTTATTACACTGGAAATAATTGGTGTGCTAAATATAACATAAAATATGACTAGAAAGCTCAGTGGAAGAAGTGGAAAGACCCACACAAATATAGCCTAGCGCTTTGACCAAAGTCTTTTTTTTTCAAGGGAGTACCAAATACAGCACTCCTTGAGTATGAAAGTACATGAGGCGGGAGAACTGGCGAGAGACCGAGTTTCTTTCAGGCAGACTGTGATGAGAGCGACGCTCTGCAAAGGACCTGCTACAAGATGATGATGATGACTAAATACAGCACAGACTGTGACTGGAAAACTCACTGGACAAGACAACAGAGGTTCTTAAATAAGAAATAAAAAAATCATTGTCAACATGAACAAGAAGTAGGTAATGGGAAAAAAAGGGGAGGGGGGGTGGGTAATTGTGCTGTTATTTTGACAATCACAAATTGTTATCATTGTTACATTTTAAAAAAGTAGAGTGAAAGAAAGTTGAGAGTTAATGTCATATTATGTAATGGAATCTAAAGACTGTTTTTGTTTTAAACATGTCACGCTATGACAGACAGTATCCGTCTTGAATCTCTGGAGACGTGGATACACAGAAAAATAGGTAATATTTCGTGGAAACAAAAGCCAGTCAAATTTGGAGATTCTGAAGAGACTACAAATGAAAAGACAGTAGCTGAAAGAAGTAAACCAGAAGACAAGTGAAATATTTAGGCCATTCATTTTCTTGTTGTGCCATTACATGTCACATAAGGCTCACTGTCTGTTTCTCCATGGCATTGTAACCTGTGCAGTCACTTTGATATGGATGGAATCCCCAGCAGCTTTGGCTTCTCATCAACGTTCACCTTAGGATTTCTTCTGGATGTCCTTGTTTCCTCTGTCTCTCTGTTTCTCATTTCAGTGCCTGTTTGCTGATTCTCTGTGCATCTGTTCTCAAACGGTGTTTAATAGAGCGCCATCTTCTCTGTCTTATAACCGTTGATAGCAGTGCTTGTCCAGACATTTATCTGTTCCTACGCGCCTCTTGATTTCATCCCATTTTATGTTCATCATTTTATTAAAAGACATAACGCTCATATAAAAGCCATACTGGAGAGAAAAGTTGAAGGCAAGCAATCCAAGTGGGAGAATAGCATCGAGAGATGAACAGCAGTCTGGCAGAGTCTACAGACAGGGCAGAAGACTGTTGTAGATCCATTGCAGCCAATCTTCATTGTGGAGATGACACCTGACTGACTGATTGATTATTTTCTAATATGTCACTCCACGCAAAACAACTGTGGCTGTCCATAGTCTTGAGAAAATACTGTGATGGTTTTCCCTGTATTTCCACTTCCATATTATTATATTTGTGTGCGTGTGCCATCTCCACAGTTACTGGGTATTAGCCTAAGATGGGACCAAGTTATATTGTGGGTTACTCTGACAACCTACAGTGTGTCCCAGTGTCAGATGCAGTTTATTTTTGTTTCAAAGCCCCCACCCTAGCTGTTGTCAAGGACTAATATAATCCAGCCTATGGGTTGAATGGGGTTTTGGTGACCTGTCCCTGGGTGATCCTCATCCGAATAGTGGCACTTTGTGTCACCGGGTGTTTATCATTCGGTGTGATGTACTGGTGGGGTTGAACGTCAGTCAGTCAATATCGTGGGGAAGTGATGTTGCTTAGTGTGATGTTGGTTGACTATATCACTCATCAAGTGCCATTTGTCTATTTTAAAAAAAAATATGGACAAGCACCATATACCTAATGCATTTGCATAGGATTATTCTGTTTATTGTTTGTGTTTGCATTTTCGAATTTGTTCCTTGCCATAACCCCTCACCAGCCTACCCATCCCACTTCTGGGTCACTTCCTGTCCACCATTGATATCCTGCAGCAGTACACATGCTCAGTGCTTCTACCGTTTAAATAATGTGTTATGAAAATTTTGTGACAGACCTCACCGAAAAGATTAGTGATTTTATGTATTCTTGTAAGCCCGGCTCTCTAGCGTAGTTGGCTAAAACGGATTGCGCGGAGACCGGGTGACGAACTCCTTGTGGTCCGGGTTCAATCCCGGGGGTAGGCAGGAAAGCCACATTTCTCCCAGATTTTACGGTATTTATAATGGAATCAGGGCCGAAAGGTTGCGATATCCATAATACCGAGCCTAAGGGTTAACAACTCATGGCTTCTGGATACTAAAACAAACAATGAATTCTTGTAAAGGCTGGTTAGTGCAGCGTTCGTACTGGATTTTTTCTTTCTTTATTTTTTTGTGTAACTGGTTATTTATTAAGTGAATTTCTTTCTTCATTTATCAGAAAGGAAGCACTGTCAGTTTTGTATTTATTTAGACTGGTATAGTTTTTGGGTACATTTCACGAACATCACCCCATCTTATCGGGCACGAGATTATGTGTTGGTTCCCATTCATGCTGTGGGGGTTCCAATGAGTGTCCTTTGTTGTAGGGAAGTTAGGATATGCGTTCCTTTGCGTTCGCTGTCCATACGCACCGTGCCAATAAGCGGCACCCGTTTGTTCACACGAAAGTGTGGAGCTTTCTTGGCAGGCAACATTGAGCAACAACGCAAGTAATACACACAGTGGCGGCAGCTCACAGCGTGGAAAATTAAACATGCTGGCCGCTCACGACGTGGAATATAGAATGCTTATAGCATTCAAAGTAA